GGTTTGCCACAGAATCTCAGGCTCTAAGTTGACAAAGTGGGTAGAATATATATTTAGTTATGTATCTATCTCCCACCTCTTTTCAGAAAAGCCTTAAGGTGGCATCTGGCTGTGTCTTTCAAGTAATAATAATAGCTAATACTTGGCGTCTTTCAAGTAATAATAATAGCTAATACTTATGGAGCACTTTCTGAGCCAGCACCATTCTCAACCCTTACAAATATTAAGGCATTCTGGAGTTGACAGGAACCTAAGGAAGTAAGGGTAGGTGTGCAGAGGGAGGGACCGCCATTTTACAGATGAGGAAGCTGAGGCCCAGAGAGGCCAAGGGAAAGGCCAAGGTCACACAGTAAAGTGTAGGCATCTGGCTTGAGGGCCGGGCCCCTAAGCCCTGTACTTACCCTCAGAGTGGCCATGAAAGCACGGTGACGTGTCTGTCTCTGGGAGAACGGTCTGCAAGGGGCCAGGCTCAGTGTCTACGTCCTACTCAGAGGAATTCTAGGCTCCGCGGAGCTCAAGGTGCATTTCTCTTCTTTTTCTTTCTTTATTTTTTTGAATCGTGGTAAAATGCACGCAACATAACAGTTAGCGTTTTAACCATTTTTAGGTCTACCATTCAGCGGCAGGACAATGCACATTGCTGCGTGACCATCAAGGCCATCCACCTCCAGAATGTTTTCACCACCCCCAGCGGACTTCGTGCCACCTGACCACCCCCTGACCATCCCCCCGACCCCCTCACCCCAGTCCTGATAACCTCTATTCTTCCTGTCTCTATCAATTTGACCCCTCTAGGTACCACATCAAAGTGGAATTATACGGTATTTCTCCTTTCAAATCTGGCTTATTTCACTTAGCATAATGTCCTCAGGGTTCATCCAGGTGGGGGGGGGCAGGTGTCAGAATGTCCTTCCTTTCAAGGCGGAATAACATCCCACCCACAGGGACGGACCATTTTGTTTATCCACCCGTGGATGGACAACCAGGTTGTCACACCTTTCAGCGACTGTTAATAAGGCTGCTGGGAACACAAGTGTACGAATGTCTGTCTGAGTCCTGCATTCAATTCTTTGGGGCACATACCCAGAAACAGGATGGCGGGATGATACGGTAATTCTCTCTTTAATGTTTTGAAGAGCCATCATCAAGCTGCCATCATCATTCCTTTCTTTCTTCCCCTTCCCCCCCGCCGCTACTTCCAAGCACAGCCCGGTCCTCTCGGTGGTCAAACCCCACTCTGCTCTCCCAGAAGGACGGTGTGCTGCTATCTCAGGAGTCAGAAAAGCAATTTCCTCCCTCTTTTTTAAGCTTCAGCTGCAGAAATCACCTGACTGAAAATTATAGAAGAATCCCACACAGGAAAGGAACTGCTCAGAAAGCCCAGCGCGCCAGCTAATTACAGGCTTTTACCGGAATTCTCAGAAAACGCTTCAATTGCTTAAATCAACCTGACTTTTGTTATGAAGTGTTTGGAAACAAGCTAATGGGCTGGGTGTCAGACCCTTAGCCTAGAGGTGACAGCTC